TTTGGTTTTACCTTATGATTGAAGTACACAGTAGCCCTCTGCTTATAGGATGTCATCCACATAGCTGCTCTCTTCCTCACCCCATCTAGTAGGTCAAGCTCCGCGCTGGTGGTCGAAACGTCAAGTTGCTTGGCTTTCATCCTGCCATCTCGTTTAGGACCTCTACTAGGACAACAGCCTCCATCTCGAAGGATAACTTAAAAGGTGTTTCTCCTGTAAGTTCTCGTGGGGTCGTGTGATATGCCCACAACTATCGTGCGACTCGAAATCCCTGCATGTTAGTCTACTGATATTAATTCTTGAGATACTCAGTGTTCCACGGCCTACCTAGTGGTTTTCCTTTCAAGTCCTTTAGGCTGTAAGCTCCATTTCCAAGGTTTCGGATCATCTCACATGGTCCTTCCTAATTCGGCCCGAGCTTAGACGGAGGGTGACCCGCTGCTGCTGCTTCCTTTAGTACGAGATCTCCTAACTAAAAAACTTTTGGTTTTACCTTATGATTGAAGTACACAGCAGCCCTCTGCTTATAGGATGTCATCCACATAGCTGCTCTCTTTCTCACCCCATCTAGTAGGTCAAGCTCCGCGCTGGTGGTCGAAACGTCAAGTTGCTTGGCTTTCATCCTGCCATCTCGTTTAGGACTTCTACTAGGACAACAGCCTCCATCTCGAAGGATAACTTAAAAGGTGTTTCTCCTATAGGTTCTCGTGGGGTCGTGTGATACGCCCACAACACATTAGGTAACTCATCTGCCCAAAGCCACTTTTCATTCTCCAATCTCGTTTTGAGATCCCACAAGATCGTTCGGTTTGTTACTTTCGCCTGCCCATTAGACTGGGGTTGAGCAACGAAAGTGAGTCGATGATCTATGTGATAACTTGAACAAAAAGCCTTGTAGCCATGGTTGTCAAACTGTCTATCATTGTCGGTGATGAGGATTCTCGATATGCCAAATCTGCATATAATGTTCTTCCAAATGAAGCTCTATACTTTTGCTATCGTAATAGTAGCCGAGGCTCCACTTCGACCTATTTTGTAAAATAATCAATAGCTACCAGCAATAACTTTCTCTGCACCTTGGCCACAGGCAAAGGCTCAAGAATATCCATCCCCCACTAAAAGAAAGGGTTTACTCCAAAAATGGTTGACTGTTACTCAGCGGAAACATGAATCAAATTTTCATGACGCTGACATACATCGCACTTTCTTACCAAATCCTTGGCATCCTCCTTCATCATGGGCCAGTAGTATCCCTGTCGCAGAGCTTTGAAGGTGATTGTGGTTTTCCCTTTGTTATTTCCACAAATCTTGAGTGTATCTCGAGTAACACCTCATGAGTCTCAATTGGGCGCAAGCATTTCAGGTATGGCATGGTAAATCTTCACTTGTATAGTTGTCCATCAATTATTTTGAATGAGGCTACCCGAATTTTCAGCGTTCTAGCCTCACATGCATCATTTCCCAATTTGTTCTCTGTCGAGTAGTCTACCAAAGAGTCTAACCAACTTTTTTCATGTTCCGTGCTCCTTATGTCAACTATGAGCAAAATGCACGGCTGTCGCAGGCCTTGTACATTTTTCGTGCTAGTTTCTCTGTCGAGTAGTCTACCAATGGGTCTAACCAACTTTTTTCATGTTCCGTGCTCCTTATGTCAACTATGAGCAAAATGCACGGCTGTCGCAGGACTTGTACATTTTTCGTGCTAGGTAGATTCTTCAGATTTGCCGATGCTAGCTTAGACGGGGTGTCTGCCCGCTCATTGTCTCTATAAGAGACCTTGGTTATCTTGAAACTTGCAAATCTCCTTTGCAGGTCCCTAACCTTCATCAAATAGGATGCCATCTTTTTGTCTCTTGCCTGAATTCACCGTCACTTGTCCAACGATCAACTGAGAGTCACTGCAAATTTCGACTAATGTTACCCCAAGTCTGGCTGCTAAACTCAGGCATGTGATACGGCCTCATATTCAGCGTCATTATTTGTTACCAAGAATTCAAAGCGCAACGAATACTCCAACTCTTTAGATTCCGGATCTATCATAATGATGCCTACTCTGAACCCCTTGCCATGCGAGGATCCATCTACGAAGATTTTCCAAACTACTTCCGGTTGAGAGGGGCAATCGGGCAGAGTTGTAAGCTCTGCGATAAAATTTGTCAACGCTTACGCCTTGATGGACGTTCTTGGCCTAAACTCAATGTCAAATTTGCTCAAATCGATCGCCCACTTCAACATCCTCCCCAACGTCTCAGGTCAATGCAAAATTTGCTTGACGGGCAAATCAGTTGTGACATGTACAGTGTGAGACTGAAAATACAGCCTTAACTTTCTAACAACTATAATTAATGTAAATACCAACTGCTTTGCGAGGACATAGCGAGTTTCTGTACCCCTCAACACCTGGCTGACATAGTGAACAGGCTTCTGCACCTTTGAAAATTCCTTCAACAGTACCACACTGACCGCATGCTTTGATACTGCTAAGTATAAACACGGCACATCTCCTACACATGGCCTAATCAAGATCGGTAGCTGCAATGACTGTTTCAAGGATTCAAGTGACTCCTCACACTCCTTGGTCCATTCAAATTTGGTAGAGCCCCCAATCGCCTTGAAGAAGTGGTAGCACTATCCTGCTGCTCGACTTATGAAACGATTCAATCTCGCTATCCATCCTGTCAACCTTTGGAAGTTCTTTCTATTTTAAGGGCTCTTCATCTCTAGAATGGCTCGAATTTTATTAGAATTTTCTTCAATGCCTCTTTGTGTCATCATAAAACCCAAGAACTTACCGCCTGATGTTCCAAAAAACACACTCCTCTGATTGAACTTCGGTCTATTTTGTCGGGCATTGTTGAACACTTTCTGTAAGTCACTTACATGGTCGTTGGCCTTCATACTCTTGACGACCATATCATCTACATACGCTTCGATGACACTCCCAGGCAAGTATCTAAAGACCTTATTCACCATTCTCTAATTAGTTGCTCCAGCATGTTTCAAACCAAACGGCATGGCCGTATAATAGTACGTCCCAGAATCAATTATGAAAGAGGTTTTTCCTTGGTCCAACTCTACCATGGAGATCTGATGATACCCAGAAAATGCATCCAGAAAACTTAATAGTTCATGACCAGATGTGGCATCCACCAAGTGATCTATTCTGGGTAGTAGGTACGAGTCTTTCGGACACACCTTATTGAGTCTGGTGTAGTCTACAGACATACTCCATTTTCCATTTGATTTCTTCACCAGGACGACATTTGTCAACCATTCGGGATGTTGTACCTCTCTAATGAACCCTGCCTACAGTAGCTTATCGACCTCGGCCTTCACCGCAGCCTGCCGCTTCGAGGCAAGATTTCTTTTTTTTTTTCTGTTTTATCAGCTTAGTGCCCGATAAAACACCAAGACGATGTTATGCCACAAATGGATCAATACCTTGTATATCGCTCAGGCACTACACAAAAAGTCCAAATTGCTATACAGAAACTTCACCAATTCTTATTTTTCCACTGGGCCCAAGTCTGCCCCCACGCTAAATTCACGCCCTACTCCCACCAAAAAAAATTCCGTAGTATCGAGGGGCTCAATTCGCCCCCTTGGAGGCTCAAGATCCAACATAATCACTCTGTATACTATTAACATAACTCTTCCTCGAAAACTGTTGATCACCCTTCACACACCCCACACCACGACCTGTTGAGAATTTCATCACCTGGTAGTAAGTGGAGGGATTAGCCCCAGCAGCATTCAATAAGGGTCGACCATAGATTGCATTATACGTTATGGGGGTCTTGACAACCAAAAAGTTCGTTAAGATCACCACCCTTACAGGGTAAGTACCCAATGTCACTGGCAGTTCCACGACTCCCTCTGGTATCACAGTAGCCCCTCCGAACCCTAAGAGGGGAGTAGATACTGCTTTCAACTTTTCCAACTAAATTTTCAATCCCACAAATGCTTCCCAAGTAAAAATGTTCGATGCGCTACCGCCATCAACTAACACTATTTTGACATCGTAGTCCGCTATGTCGTCGACTACCACCAAGGCATCATCATGGGGGGGTTACCAGGCCTATTAAATCATCCTCACCAAAAGTGATGATTTGATTGAACCTAGCCTTTTTCTAAATGGAGCAGACCCCATGTGCCTGCATAGCTCTTTCTAGCCGAGTTTGAGTCCCTCCCTCCCTCTATCCCTCCGCTACGATCCCTCCAATTATCACATTTATGACACCGACCATGGGCGGTGGTGGTCTGTCATCAACCTTCTGCTTGCCTCGATCATTTCTCGCGTATTTAGTCAAAAAGCCCGCTTCAAGAGGCGCTCGATTTCCTCCTTCAAATAGATGTATTCTTTCATATCGTGCCCATAATCTTTATGGAAATGGCAATTACTTGTTCTTATCCTTCTTGCTGGCTGATGCTGCCATCGGTCCCGGTCAATCAAGCTCTTTCATATCCATAATATCTATCAATATCTTTCCCCGCAGAGTATTTAAAGGGGTGACGACCTTGACCTCCTCTCACCTCTGTCGGATGGATCGATCCGGAATGTATCCCTTTTCTCTGTCGAGTAGTCTACCAATGAGTCTAACCAACTTTTTTCATGTTCCGTGCTCCTTATGTCAACTATGAGCAAAATGCACGGCTGTCGCAGGACTTGTACATTTTTCGTGCTAGGTAGATTCTTCAGATTTGTCGATGCTAGCTTAGACGGGGTGTCTGCTCGCTCATTGTCTTGACAAGAGACCTTGGTTATCTTGAAACTTGCAAATCTCCTTTGCAGGTCCCTAACCTTCATCAAATAGGATGCCATCTTTTCGTCCCTTGCATGAATTCACCGTCACTTGTCCAACGATCAACTGAGAGTCACTGCAAATTTCGACTAATGTTACCCCAAGTCTGGCTGCTAAACTCAGGCATGTGATACGGCCTCATATTTAGCGTCATTATTTGTTACCAAGAATTCAAAGCGCAACGAATACTCCAACTCTTTAGACTCCGGATCTATCATAATGATGCCTACTCCGAACCCCTTGCCATGCGAGGATCCATCTACGAAGATTTTCCAAACTACTTCCGGTTGAGAGGGGCAATGAGGCAGAGTTGTAAGCTCTGCGATAAAATTTGTCAACGCTTACGCCTTGATGGACGTTCTTGGCCTAAACTCAATGTCAAATTTGCTCAAATCGATCACCCACTTCAACATCCTCCCCAACGTCTCAGGTCAATGCAAAATTTGCTTGACGGGCTAATCAGTTGTGACATGTACAGTGTGAGACTGAAAATACAGCCTTAACTTTCTAACAACTATAATTAATGCAAATACCAACTGCTTTGCGAGGACATAGCGAGTTTCTATACCCTTCAACACCTGGCTGACATAGTGAACAGGCTTCTGCACCTTTGAAAATTCCTTCAACAGTACCACACTGACCGCATGCTTTGATACCGCTAAGTATAAACACGGCACATATCCTACACATGGCCTAGCCAAGATCGGTAGCTGCTGCAATGACTGTTTCAAGGATTCAAGTGACTCCTCACACTCCTTGGTCCATTCAAATTTGGTAGAGCCCCCAATCGCCTTGAAGAAGTGGTAGCACTATCCTGCTGCTCGACTCATGAAACGATTCAATCTCGCTATCCGTCCTGTCAACCTTTGGAAGTTCTTTCTATTTTCAGGGCTCTTCATCTCTAGAATGGCTCGAATTTTATTAGAATTTGCTTCAATGCCTCTTTGTGTCATCATAAAACCCAAGAACTTACCGCCTGATGTTCCAAAAAACACACTCCTCTGATTGAACTTCGGTCTATTTTGTCGGGCATTGTTGAACACTTTCTGTAAGTCACTTCAGGGCTCTTCATCTCTAGAATGGCTCGAATTTTATTAGAAGTTGCTTCAATGCCTCTGTGTGTCATCATAAAACCCAAGAACTTACCGCCTGATGTTCCAAAAAACACACTCCTCTGATTGAACTTCGGTCTATTTTGTCGGGCATTGTTGAACACTTTCTGTAAGTCACTAACATGGTCGTTGGCCTTCATACTCTTGACGACCATATCATCTACATGTGCTTCGATGACACTCCCAGGCAAGTATCTAAAGACCTTATTCACCATTCTCTAATAAGTTGCTCCAGCATGTTTCAAACCAAACGGCATGGCCGTATAATAGTACGTCCCAGCATCAATTATGAAAGAGGTTTTTCCTTGGTCCAACTCTACCATGGAGATCTGATGATACCCAAAAAATGCATCCAGAAAACTTAATAGTTCATGACCAGATGTGACATCCACCAAGTGATCTATTCTGGGTAGCAGGTACGAGTCTTTCGGACACACCTTATTGAGTCTGGTGTAGTCTACATTTTCCATTTGATTTCTTCACCAAGACGACATTTGTCAACCATTCGGGATGTTGTACCTCTCTAATGAACCCTGCCTACAGTAGCTTATCGAGCTCGGCCTTCACCGCAGCCTGCCGCTTCGAGGCAAGATTTCTTTTTTTTTTCTATTTTTTCAGCTTAGTGCCCGATAAAACACCAAGACGATGTTGTGCCACAAATGGATCAATACCTTGTATATCGCTCGGGCACTACACAAAAAGTCCAAATTGCTATACAGAAACTTCACCAATTCTTATTTTTCCACTGGGCCCAAGTCTGCCCCTACGCTAAATTCACGCCCTACTCCCACCAAAAAAAATTCCATAGTATCGAGGGGCTCAATTCGTCCCCTTGGAGGCTCAAGATCCAACATAATCACTCTGTATACTATTAACATAACACTTCCTCGAAAATTGTTGATCACCCTTCACACACCCCACACCACGACTTGTTGAGAATTTCATCACCTGGTAGTAAGTGGAGGGATTAGCCCCAGCAGCATTCAATAAGGGTCGGCCATAGATTGCATTATATGTCATGGGGGTCTTGACAACCAAAAAGTTCATTAAGATCACCACCCTTACAGGGTAAGTACCCAATGTCACTGGCAGTTCCACGACTCCCTCTGGTATCACAGTAGCCCCTCTGAATCCTAAGAGGGGGGTAGATACTGCTTTCAAATTTTCCAACGAAATTTTCAATCCCACAAATACTTCCCAAGTAAGAATGTTCGATGCGCTACCGCCATCAACTAACACTATTTTGACATTGTAGTCCACTATGTCGTCGACTACCACCAAGGCATCATCATGGGGGGTTACCAGGCCTATGAAATCATCCTCACCAAAAGTGATGATTTGATTGAACCTAGCCTTTTTCTAAATGGAGCAGACCCCGACTGTGCCTGCATAGCTCTTTCTAGCCGAGCTCGAGTCCCTCCCTCCCTCTATCCCTCCGCTACGATCCCTCCAATAATCACATTTATGACACCGACCATGGGCGGTGGTGGTCTGTCATCAACCTTCTGCTTGCCTCAATCATTTCTCGCGTATTTAGTCAAAAAGCCCACTTCAAGAGGCGCTCGATTTCCTCCTTCAAATAGATGTATTCTTTCGTATTGTGCCCATAATCTTTATGGAAATGGCAATTACTTGTTCTTATCCTTCTTGCTGGCTGATGCTACCATCGGTCCCGGTCAATCAAGCTCTTTCATATCCATAATATCTATCAATATCTTTCCCCGCAGAGTATTTAAAGGGGTGAAGACCTTGACCTCCTCTCGCCTCTGTCGAATGGATCGATCCGGAATGTATCCCTTACTTATGCGCTCATTTCTCGACTTGCCTTTATCAATAAGTTTTGGCTCATCACCTGACTTTAACTTGTGACTTTCTGCCTCCCATCCCTCTATAAGATTTTCCGTTACATTCTCTACTTCCTCGGCATCATCGTACGTGTCACCCTTTTTAGCAGGTTATGCATCGATTCTTGGGAGTTTTTGGAGAGTGACATCTTAAAGGCCCAGTTTCACGTCCCATTCATTAACGCTGTTACCACTGCAGATATTTGAAGTTCCCTTATACCAAGTGTCGCCCGGCTGAACCTAGCCAAGTACTCCTGCAAAGATTCATGTTTATCTTGCACAACCTGCATCAATCTAATGGTCGTCTTCCGTTTCCTTTTGCTACTCATAAAGTATGCCACAAAACTCCTAGAAAGCTCATGAAAAGTCTTTATAGACCTGGGTACCAAGGTGGCCACCCAGTCTCTAGCCTCTCTCCTGAGTGTCGGGGGAAAGGATCGGCACATCACTACGTCTAGGGCTACATAGAGCCTCATTAAATCAACGAAGGTCCGCAAGTGGTCAAGTGGATCTGTGACTCCATCGTATGCTTCTATTATTGGCTGTTTGAAGCCTTTCGGTAAAGGACCAGACATTATATCATGTACAAAAGGATCTTCCTCGAAAACCATTTGCCTGCGCCTATCCTTCCTCTTGGTTAATGCATCGTCTATCTTCTGGGTCATCATCTCCTCTATCTTCCTTTCCAAGTCTGTCATGGGTCGGGGAATCTACGGAACCACAAATCCTATAGCCCCCAAGTCTCCTACTACTGGCTAAATAACAGGCGGGATAACAGTTTGCGCCACCTGGGGTGGTTGCTCGTATACGGCCTCCGACGAGTTCTGTAGTGGGGCTGCGATTTTCTGCGTTTGACTCTACAAGAGGGTCATCATGTCTGCCATTGTGATTCCAGGGTACTAAATTGGCTCTGCGTTACGTACTGTAATGGCGGGTTGTAACCCCTTGTGACAGACTCCGACTTTGTCTCTATTGTATTCCCAATCATGCGGTTTTACTCTTATTCCGTCTCCTTGACATAGCTTTTTTGTTTAGTGGTTTCCCAAAGATGGTGTCAATGAAATTGTAGCGAGATAGACCTTCGTGTTTTCCTTGATGTGTATCCAGCTGCTCCGATCAATGAATGCTACCTGCAAAATGAGGTCGAGGCTTTCTTCCCCGTTGTACCTCCGGCATGAGAATTTCTGGGTCATCATCTCCTCTATCTTCCTTTCCAAGTCTGTCATGGGTCGGGGAATCTACGGAACCACAAATCCTATAGCCCCCAAGTCTCCTACTGCTGGCTAAATAACAGGCGGGATAACAGTTTGCGCCACCTAGGGTGGTTGCTCGTATACGGCCTCCGACGAGTTCTGTAGTGGGGCTGCGATTTTCTGCGTTTGACTCTACAAGAGGGTCATCATGTCTGCCATTGTGTTTCCAGGGTACTAAATTGGCTCTGCGTTACGTACTGTAATGGCGGGTTGTAACCCCTTGTGACAGACTCCGACTTTGTCTCTATCGTATTCCCAACCATGCGCGTTTTACTCCTATTCCGTCTCCTTGACATAGCTTTTTTGTTTAGTGGTTTCCCAAAGATGGCGTCAATGAAATTGTAGCGAGATAGACCTCCGTGTTTTCCTTGATGTGTATCCAGCTGCTCCGATCAATGAATGCGACCTGCAAAATGAGGTCGGGGCTTTCTCCCCCGTTGTACCTCCGGCATGAGAATTAGAGTTCCGTATTGGAGAATATGGAGAGATAATAAGATCGGAAGAGCGTCGAGTTCCGTTGTACCTCCGGCATGAGAATCAGTAGTTGGTTTAGAAAAGTAGGAAGAGAGTATAATTGGAATTCAAACAGTTTGGGTTTCAAGAAGAATACATTTCTCACCTTAGGGGTATTTATAGGCACCTGATGTGATGCACTCGTTCTGCGGTTAATGGTGCCACGTGTCCCATGTAAATCTTCCCACTTCCCCCACGTTCTAACGGGATGACCCACACTCCTCAAGCTGTTGGTTGTGCCCATGTTTGCTGTTGGACGATTCTCATCCAGCTCATTGTCATTTGTATGGTTAAGTGTAGCGTTGGCCTCATAGTGGTGACGGCCTATGTAAACGCAAGGGCCTCATGGTGGTAGGCGGCCCCATGGAGGTCGACTGTCTCATGGTGGTAGGCAGCTTCATGGTGGTCAACGGGTTTATAGTAGTAGACCGCCTATATGAACATAGAAAGCCTCATAATGGTATACAACCTGTAGAGGTAGAGAACTATCATGTGGTGCTCTACATGGGGTGCATATCAAGTAGCCCTTACCTCAATGACCATTGTAGATAATTATTAATGCAATCTTATACCAGTACACAATTTAACTGTGCGTGGGTAAGATGAGAGAATTGAGGGTTGAGTTTTTTAAGCTAAAAATGGAGATGAACAATTAAGCTTAAAGAAGTTTATAGGGCCATGAAAATCACATTTCACACATGTTGAATTTGGAAATTTTTTTTAATGATCGTAACTTATCACGTGGAATTTTTGTGCGACATGTCAGCAACAAAGTGAACAAAATCTGATGGATAATGAATGGAGTGCAACTCTAAAAAATGAGTGATCATTGGAAAGCATTTTGAAGTTTGATGAATAAATCGTGGCCATAATATAAGTTGGGTGAGTAATAAAATATTTTGCTTGAATGGTTTTGTGAATTTATAATCTTTTTAACGACTATAACTTGTCATATTGGATTTCCGTTTGACACGTCAACAAATGAGGGGAACGGAATTTTGCACATGATGAATGTAGTGAAAACAGACAAAATTCGATGAGCATTGTAAAGCACTTTGAAGTTTAGTGAGTACTTGACCATAGTTAAAGTAGGATGAGTATTCAAACATTTAACTCTTGATTTGGCACTCTTTAATAGATATACAATGTGCAAAATAACTTATTAAGTAGATGCGAAATGTACAAAATAATTTCCCACTAAGACATGATCCTATAACAAACTTTAGACTAATTCAACGAAATCAATAATATATATATAATTGAACATTTACGAAAAGAATTGAAGATTAAATTTTTGTAAATAAATATATAAATTGTTTAACAAGTTAAATATTTAAATAAGGTGGTTCAATACGTGCAAGTTTATATGTTCACACATGATATAGGAACACACCAATGGCAACTAGAGATTTAAAAAAAAAAAAAAAATTCTACACAATCCTTACATGAACAGAGCATTTACTTGTCCCAGTTTTCTTCATGATTTTCATTGATTTCATTTACTTACTTCGCCTCATAAAAGAAGATTAAACAAGGTAAAATTCAAGATAAGAAGCACATGCCAAAAGATAATTATCTCAACTTCAAGATGGCAACTATCCTGCGTACAAAAATCTGGAATCTGCCAACTTTTCTGCATCACAAGCTATATAACACAATCTTTGTCACCCTATAAAAAGACAGATATGTCCATCCCTTTGAATCGAGGTTTCATTTTCTTGTAAGGTTAAGGTTTCATACAATAGTTTTGCCAACAATATGCAGAATGCAATCACCAGAATTGTAATAAAAAGCGCTGAAATGGCCACGGTGAAGTGATGAATTGGGATTCAACACATACTGTCAGGGACGGAAAATATGTGGGTGTACTGAGCTACTACTAGCGCTTGCTTGGGCACCAAAACTCGAAGTTGGCAGGAGGAGTTCGGCCTGTGGGAAGGAGCTGTTGCATGGTACATCCAGCAGCAAATCCTGTTCAGAACTTTCATCTGCAAAATGGAGAGAGTCGAGCACAAGGGAGCCGTCATCATTTGGCGAGGAAAATAGGTTTCTTGGACTGAAGCAACAACCATCACTATTTATTGGTTCCTTCTGTTCGTTGCTTGACTTGGTTATCACCCTTCGGGGGCTCTTCATCATAGTTTTTGATCCTAGAATAAAAGAATTAGGAGGTTATCCTACATGCGTACATACTCCAGTGTATTTCCAGATCTAAATTATACCGTTCTCAATTACTCAAGTTTGTTTTGCAGATTATCAAGGATACAGATATCCTAATGTTTGACGGGACAAACTAAAATCCATATCAGGATCCTTACAATTGTGTCTATGAAAGAGAATCAAGAAGATATAAATCTGATAATGCAGCAAATTGCCAAACGTATTAGACTTGGGACATAGTTAATACTAGCAAAATTTCAAGGGAATAGTTGGAAGAAGAAAAAAAGAAAAAACAATTGTTTATTGGGAGATGTCAAAATCTTGGATTAGAAAAAGAGGTACCAAAACAAACTAGAGAATAAAGACACTCAAAAAGAAATAACCTGAGAGCAAAGACTACAGTAAACTGCTGTTAAACTGTAGGACATAAAACTTTAGTCAAGGTCAGAAAATGGCTGGATTATAAACCCTTTATAGCATATAAATAATTTTGAATAGAAGCATTCAAATGCAAAAATAATGTATCAAACACAACAATCAATGATATTTATTAGTTTACAGCATGAGATATTCCTTTGGTCAAACTGCACAGGAAAATAGCATTCTTCGCCAAAGGGAAGTAAATTCTCAGACATATCGAGCTTCCTTTTGCATAGGAGCGATTTATTTATTCTTAAAATTATCATCCATCAAATTTTAAGTTAAATAATCTCTCATGCAGAAACATGCCTAGAAAACTAAAACATGTCAGTTACGCCATCTATGAGAATATGTCTTACCTGAAAACTTTTGATGCTGTCCATCTCGTGATCTTTTTACGTTAACCGAATGACCAGTTACAACTGCGCTGAGTCCTCCTGCCGCTTCAGAACCATAGATACATTTTTTTCCTTTTACATCCTACACATTAACAACAAAATTCGAAGAGAATAACTTCAATCCACGACATGTGTACTTTTACCAAATACAAGATCATTCTTATGTAATTGGTTCAGACCTTAAGTAAATTATATTGTTCCACCCACTTCGATTTTGTCAAATTGCATAAAGCAAGTTTCTTCAAAGTTACACAATCTTCTGTTTTCACGCCAGACATTGAGTTATCTAAAACTCCTTCTGCAAGAAGTTTCTGGAAGGATGATAGGTTCTCCTTGAATTGAGGGCTATCGAACATACTTTCTAGGCTGAATGTAATAAGATAGAACATTATCAGTATAAACCACGTTATGCTTATGTCAGTTTAAATTTATATATATCAACATTTAGAGCCTATTTGAACCCCTTTTTTGGCCAAAAATGCATTTTAGAATAATGATTTGATTCAGAATGTGTGTTTAAAAAATAAGGAAAAGTTTTTGGTCTGCATGTAATATTATTTTATTGAAGAATGTGTGATTGAAAATAAAAGAGAGAAAAATGTATTTTGGAAATAATGGGGACCAAATAAGGGCTTAATGATTTTTATAAGGCTTGATCAAGAAAAAATTGATGTCAAGAATTCATCCTACCAATACAATTTTAGAAAGAACATATATTTCAATTTTTATTAGAAATCTACAGATCTTTCTGGTCTTAGATTATCTGCATATCACAAAAATTAGTATTTTGAGATTGATTAGCAAGTATGCTACTTCATTTTCTTAAGTTACCAACTCATGGTACGAGGAATTGTCCACTTTTTTCCAAATAATTTCTCCAAAGCTTCAGATCAATTTAATGATTAGAATAATTTAATTCTTATGTGAATCCAAACACATCAAGCATAAGCCTTAAGGTATCAGTCCATGTGTTTATCCATTTTGAAAATAATGTCCGTGTAATTTTTCAGAAATGTTTATTGATATTCCAATTTGTTAACCTATCTTTAAACTGATATTTTTCTTCATGCTTGATTACTATAAGGTACAATGAGTATTAGTGATGAATTACAAACCTCTCTGGCGATGCAGAAATATCAACGAAAGGTAAAATCTTCAGTAATTGCTGTTGCTCGTCATTGTTTAGATGAGACAAAAATTTGTCAAAATTAAGGATATCCTGCATCAATATTGAAATCAATCGTAACAGAGTACAGTGCATAGCTTTTAACATCAATGACACTGAATTCAATTCTCAAGAACAGTTAAGATCAGAAATGATCAGGAAAAAGAGCAAGTTACAAATAAAATAATAATAGGCATAAAATGGATTGTGCATACAGATGCCTGAAAATCTAAAATCAAGAACTAGTACGAGGAGGTAGAACGAAGATGGAGTTCATGATTTAGTTCACTCGCTGTACACTGCATAAAAGAAGCTTAGACAAGAGAGGGAATTGAATTAATGAGACAAATTCGGCCCAGTGGCACTGACATATTGGCCTTCAAAGAAATACAGAATCCTTGCATTACAATTAGTAAACAGTAGTGCTTCTGATCAAGTATAAAAAGAATGTTCAGATTCACGACTCACTTGCAGATCTACATGAAGTAATGGTGAATTATGATGGCCCACCATCAGAAGTTTTTCGAGTTGATCCTTGTCTCTGAAATTGAAAATAAAGCAAAATGAATGGAAGGGGAACAAGCAAAGTACTGAACCAAAGAAGAATTCAATGTTAAAGTAAACTAAGTTATTAAGGTATCTCCATTCTAAGTATTGACTATCTCTCCAAGTCAAGTAACTCCATGATTGTTGATTTAATTAAAGATGCCAGATAACTTTGCAACTCCAAGAATTTCACCAAATAGTGTCTGGACCTGAAGACTGGTTGATAAAAATTAAATTTAAGTTCCTGTTAAACAATTTGGCATATGCAATTCTATTTCTTCTCTATGATATGTATTGGACGAGATATACTGTCAAGGCATCTATAATTGAACAGCATCTCAGACAGGTGAGAAATGGATAAGCTTAAGATTTAGCATCCCTCTCTTTTATGTTCCACAACTGGAAGTTTCAAATTACGAACTTGCATTAGTCTGTCTCATAGTGTTGACAAAAAATGGATAAAAGACCTCTTAATTTCTTGTTGTTCTATGCCCCGTCCAGCAGGCTTCTTGATATGTACAGGCGGGGTTGTGCACTGTGAATAAGCATTACATATGGGATGTCGTTTGTTATCAATTGAAAGGGAGCTAGCTTCTGATTCTTCTTCTCGACTTATTCCGTTAGGATGTCGAATGAGTACACTTCCATGTCCAATCTCAACAGACACCATAGGTTTGTCGCTCTCAAGAAGCAATTCTTCTTCTGAAGTTGCAGAGAAGCATGATGACTGTTGTTCATGCCATATAGTATACAGATCTTTGGTAAGCTTCTCAAATGGAGATGGTTTTGATCGACTGATGCAGGTTCTTTTCTTGGAAGGCACCATTGTGTCCCAGACAACAGATTGGGAAGGGCCTGCAAAGATGATTAATGTGTAAGCAATTCAATCGGCAGCAAAGATGTTTAATAGCAGGAATGAATTGTGTCTTTAATTTAGATGAACAACAAACTACACCACTCCACTATATCTTTTTCCTAGAGGCTGGTGACATAGTAAAATTGCAATTTATAAATAATGAATAAGGCAACAGGATGGAGTTTGATTTGCAGATTTTAAGTGCCAACTGTGTAAATCATGCCTAGAAATCAAACAAACCTGTTAAATCACTTGCATCTGCACTGCCATATTGAGCACAGCTCTCTGGGTTAGATATGGCAGATCCAGAACTTGATCTATTACTTGTATCTTCATCAAATCCTTTACGGAAACCCTGGTTATGACCAGGCACAAACCCTCCAAATTCAGAAAAATCAATATCTTGTTTTTTTCTGAGTACTTTCTCCCTTCTGCTCTTAATGGATACATTCTCAACCTTAGATGATACCCTAGGGTTCTCATAGTCATCAGATTCTGTCCTAGCATGTAGAGGAGTATAGTTTGCCAGTGTTCCCTTTGTTCTCCACCGAGAACCACATGCATTGCATAGAACTGGCTTCTCAGGCGGCCCATTACGCCAAAGAGGGGTGCCTGTTTCATAATTTATTTATTGGCAGTCAAATCACTGTAAAGTAATATGATGAAAGAATGAAAGTCATCAGAAAGTTCCTCAATGACAAATCATCGTGCGTGGCTAACTAATTAGCAGTTAAATTTCAACAAGCACAATAAATGGAGACGATTAAAAATAATAATTACAAAGAAGCAAAAAAAAATTAGAAATAATGAAACATTGCACAAAACTTTTACATCATAATTAGAATTCTGTTATTTTTGGAAGATGGTTGACATTGCACTGCACATTTCAGAAAGTGATAGTATAAATTCTAAGGTATTTTCTTGAGTTAGAATATCATAAAAAAGGGTGATTTTCTTTACATTGGTAAAACACAAACCGAGATACTGACTACATCAATGTGGACAAAAGGGAACGAGATTAAGATTATTGTCACTCTAAAGACAAAGCATACTTCTTTAAGGATTTATGACAGTTCGGTACAGCTCGCTATCCTATATATTGGAAATGTAGAGCCGGAGGTTTTAATGACAATGCAGATGTAAATTCTAAATATACTGCGTGTTCGGTAAAGATTAAAATTGGATTAAAATTGAAAAACTAGCCGTTATTGTTGACTTTTATTAAACGAGTGGGACCCAATAACGGTTATATTTTCAATTTTAATTGTATTTTAATCTTTACCAAACAAGCACATAGATACGCTACTAATTCTTCTTTTGAAGAGACGATGGGGAGGAAGAAGCAGGAAGAAACTTGGCAAATTTATATGTGAGGTGTCTGTCTGCATTTGCTTGGAAGTTAGCACAAGGAAAAGCCTATGCCATCAGTCTTCTTGATGAGATTGAGCAAAAGAGTGTATAATTTGTAGCTTTTTTTCAAAATTGACAAAAAGTATGGGATCAGGAATCTAAATGCTGGAGCATTTAGGAAAATATAGTCAATTCATTTAATCAAAATCGTCTGAAATTATCTTTACAGCCCTTCAAGTCTAAGGACATATCATACAACACATTGACAACTAAAATTTGTTTATCCCAAATTCTCCTGAAAATATAATTGAAAACGTGGCAATAAGAGTCCACTCTGAGATCTAAAAAACTACTTCAAGCAGCAGCAATGGATTTCTTAGCCAAATTGAAAATAGATTGAATAAACTTTTTCTCAGTTCAATTATTACCTAATATAGATATTTCCTCTTTCCTTGTGGTCAGAAGCAAAACATAAAGATATATAATCAGGAGAATATTTTAAGCAAAGGCAGAAGCTTAAGAGTAAGAAGAATTTCTTCCCAGCAGGTGAAGAAATATCAAAACTCAGACGCTTTAAACACAACATCAAAACTTAAGGATGATACGATACTAGTACACAGTCAAAATTATTAGCAGTTGAAAATCAAATCTGAAGTTGTAAAGGTAACACTCAGAAGTTTGGATCAAGTTAGACTGGAATACGACAGAAACGAACTTCTAATTTCAATTAGGTGAGCAATTTGTCTAAAGTGCAACAGATAATAGAGAACAAAAGCTTCTCGATTCATAGTTGAAAAAAAGTATGAATAACAAACGCCTATGATGTGGTTAGTGGTTTCTAGCAAGGTGGGAATCCCCATTGCCAAAGATTGATAAGAGAAACATCACACATACACTGGACGTCATTTGACACAATCACACAACTACTTGTCTGTTGATAATCTTAATGTCAAATCTAGAAAGAACTAAACTTAGCTGGAAAATGGTTATGGGATACATAATATTAAGAGGTACATTCCCAAATCATATTATAAACACAGCACCTAAGACAGCAAACATAGGATCACTCTGCATTGATTTAATTTGACCAGAAACACTATTTAACTGTATTAGAAAACAGTCTATTAGTTAAATTTCAGTAGTTTACACGTGGTTCAAGAGAGTCAATTGGCAGTAAGCATCAACCGAGGAAGAAAAGAAATCTAGAAAATGTAAAGAAAAGACCAATTTTATGGGCAAACTTGAGGAATTGCAATACAAATTCATTTGATAATCGCAGCTTTGCAAGAACCGAAAAATCGAAAAAAGGTCAAAAAAGAAAGGGAAAGGACCAGGAAACAAACAGAATAAAATGCATACAGCAAATATGACTCATTTTCTCATTGTCCAGTTAATCTCTTCAATTGCCAAGCAATTCAACCGGTATATAGTACTTACAAAAATTGAAAATTTGATCAAAGAATGTAGGAATAATTGTTGAAAATTGCATTTTATTTCATGAATATCTAAAGAATTTATTATAAAGAAACATCGTGAAAAACAAAAACTCACTTGTAACACCACAGTGATAGCAAGGTCCTTGCTTTCCCATGTCTCGCAATTTCTTTTCTTCCACAATTCCAAAAACAACAAAAGAAATATCAAACAAATTTCAACAGAAAAGTAGCCCAAAAAATCCAGTTATCAGAAGAAAAATCTTTCAAGAAATTAATATATACAGTTTTGATTATTCTTTTAGCCTTTTATAGCACAATATCCAAGTGGGTATGAGGACTTCTATCGATAGACCAGCAAAGGTTCAAGTAAAAAAAAAAAAAAAAAATTCCAGAAAGACCCAGAGAAGTTTGAATCGTAGAGTCTCCTAAAGACCACTGAAAAAGTAAAAGTTTCCCACATGTAGTTAAGGCATACAAAGATAGGCCATTTCAGCAGATAATCTATACGGTACAATACAACTAATGAAGAAAAGGAATAAAAAAACCATTGAATAAATCTTGTTCATAAAAAAAGGAAGGTGAAATGGGAAAGGGAAGAGGGTTAGTTTTATGTATATATGACTTCTTCCTCTTGTTTTTGTAATGTATTTTGTATGTGAAGTAAATGTTTCAGCTTTCTTTGCTATTTTTCTTTATTATTTTGATGTCATTTGTAATCTTTAGCCTTTTCTTTTCCATTTTTTCACTATAAACTCCAATCTAATTATACTTTTAAACCCAAAACGAATTGGCCAATATTAATTATTATTACTATTATTGTATTTAAATATGCTTAAAAGTTGAAATAAGTAACTTAAATGTGAATTTAACTTTTATTTTCATACACAGTAAAACACGTTAATTATTGATATCTATAATCTGGTTGACTATGATATACTTTCTATATTCAAATCCCATCAGCCAAAGATAAGAAAAAAAANCATGGGGGTGAGGGGTTGAGGAGTGAAGAGATGAATGAACAGTTTTTTTTTAATTATTTTAAGGGATAATGAGGATAAATGCAAAGTTAACATTTTATGCTTTTAATTTGGTCAGATTATATTATTCTTAGTCAAATAACGGTCAAATTGATGGTTTGGATCCCAACTGTCAATTTTTCAAAGGTTTAGTATCTATGTTGGTACAAACTGAAAGTTATGATAAAGTCTGTAAAAATTTAAAAGGTTAGGGACCGCTACTGCAATTTTTCCTATATATATTCTTCTTGTATTGCACGATGTTGATAAATATATTAATTTAATAGTCTTGATCAAGTTATTTATTAAGCCATGATGTGTTGTTTGGTATTGCTTAACAAAGTCACAATTTTAAGGCATTGCTTGGAGAGATTTATTTGTGGGACCCATGTGATGTGTCATGCACTCACCTTAGATGATTAGAAACATTTTGGTTTTGGATCCAACTTTGTACCATTAGATATTTAGATCCATTCTTTGGTATTAACCACAATTGACTGACTCCCTTTAAATTGAATTAATTGGAGGACATCTTAATTATAAGGTTAATTAGGCAGTTGGTCATTGAAGTTTGGAGTTAATTTTAAAATGGTCCCTGAAAAAAATTTCTTACTGTGATAGTCACTAAAAGCTTTAAGGATTACACTAGTATTCACTTTATTAAAAATATTAATCTTAAATTATATGGCACTGTTATATTTTAACATAGACACAAAAGACGTTACATACGACATCTCCGTTGGATAAACCACACCAATTGTCATTGAAATCTGGAGCAAGTTTTGAAATGATCACTAAAGCAGTACCATGTTTTATCAAATTTTTCACTAGTTTATCGGTTACCCTATTCCCCAAGTTAGATTCCATTTTCTCAGATTGACTTTGATATATGATTCTCCGTTAAACAATATACTAGATATTGCCTTAGAAATTTGTCATTTATCATTTCATTCTTCTTTAATTTACCTTATTATTATTATTATGGTTCTATAACCCCAGAAAAATGAAACTAGATTTTGGCTCTCAAGCCTTTGTTGTTTCCCGATTACATTGCAAGACAAAACTAAACGATATTGATGTCAATGTGGCTCGTCAGCTCGGGGGGACTGTGGCTCGGCCCGAAAGAAGTCCTAGTCGGACAGGCTCGTGGCTTGGTTCCACCTCAAGCAAAGGACTTAATACTTAGTTTACTTAGAAAAAAAGGTGAAAACAAATGGAGAGGATTGAAAATGAATGACATTGGTAGGAAAATGAAGAGCAATAGCTTAAAAAAAAACTGTCGAGAATCGAATGAAATTTCAAATTTTAGTATTTTATTCATAGCAACTATCTCGTATCTGGTTATAATCATCTGCTGCTACTGAGGGCTATTTTAGTTTCTTGCTATTTCTTGTAGTTATTATTATGGACAAGAAATTATTATGTAACCTTGCTTATTAACTCTTATGTTAACGCTTTTAATTGGGTGACCATCAGTGTAACCATTAGAAGTTTACGTGATGTAAGAAAATTAATTCAATAACCATTTTTAAATTTACTCCAAATTTCAGTGACTAATGGCATAATTGACTTAGCTCTACCTTAGGAGGGAGCCACTTGACCTTATTTATAGGCTATAAGACCATACCACTTACTTGTCCAATATCATTTCAGCTACCGCGCTGACCTAAAAATGCGTGTCACCGCTTAAAATTATGATTTCGTGATGGTTGTTGATGTCAATCATTGAGGCCATCATGATGCTTACATTGTAGCTATAGCATCAGGTAATGATGATTTGCAACTAGATAATCATTACTTGCTTGTAATTGGTTTGAGAATTAGGTATTGACGTCGCAGTTGTCACGTGTTACGTTGGGAGTGGTAGTAAGGTCGAGTAGTGTGATAATGAATGTAAATTATGATATTTCTGTAAATTACGTCGGCGTTTGTCTAATCTCATCCCATTACTTTCGTTAAATAAAATATATTTTGACAAGACAACAAAGAGCGCATACACGAATCAAGTTATTATATGAGGATCCTCCCTCCAACCGTTGAGCTAAACTGAGATGTATAAATCAAATAAAAGAGCATTGAGCATACAGCTACTCAATACAAAATTTCGAGCAACTTGGTGTATACAATTTGAACCTAACTTTTAATGNGGATCCTCCCTCCAACCGTTGAGCTAAACTGAGATGTATAAATCAAATAAAAGAGCATTGAGCATACAGCTACTCAATACAATATTTCGTGCACCTTGGTGTATACAATTTGAACCTAACTTTTAATGTGCATGATAGAAATACAGGTTACTTTTTTACATGAAAAATATTTCTGATTTTTTTATATCCATACAAAGTAAGGATGTAAGTAGTCAGATTTAAAACATTTTGGACCAATTTTCAAATTTACTTTTGTAAAAAGTTAAAGATTAACTCAAGTCAAAATGAAAATGCCCTATCAAGAAATTTGTCCAAACCCAACCACCATAGTGTAGTTCAAAATGGTTGTAGACCACATTTAACAAATAGTACAAATGGATAGGTTTGGATCCAAAATGCACATGTTAAAATTCCAATTGGGCCATACTTCCACCTCTTAAATTGCAAATCACCAAGTGCTTGTGTGTAACCAAATTGTACTTGTATATATGCTAAGTTTAAGTGTTTTGGTTTGGTTTCAAATCATGACCAAAATTGAAACCAAAGTGTATGCAATAGTTAGGTGGGAGTCAAAATAAAATTATTGACGAATTCAAATTCATCCAAATCAGTTCCGGGATCTCTTGTTCAATTTCATATCTTTCATCACCATTATCGTCATCTCAACTATTGTCCACTACCAATCCCCTATGTCGAACAAGGTTCGATGAACCCTTGGTAAAATTTCTTTTACTTCTAAGTATATATTAAAACGTGCTTTCTATTTCTATGGATTTATTTTTTTTATTTTTTTTTTATATAATAGGAGTTTTCAATTAAAAAGGAAAACTTTATTTATATGGATTCTTGAAGATTAGAATTTAGGGGATATTACACTTATCCAAAGTTTTAAAATATCCAATTCAAAAATCAAATTTAAAGAATATTTGTTCAAAAATTAAATGATAATTCATATTTTAATATTAATAATAATATTATAAAATTAAATTAACTAACATACCTCATCCAATCCACCTCACTTCCAAACCCTAAATTTCTCTATATTCTCTTCATTATCTCGTCTCTGTCTTTAATAACTATGGAAAACCACCGTCGGATACCATCGCAGTGGACGAAGAAAAGTAAAAAAAAAAAACAGTGTAAACTATGCGTAATGAAGTGAATGTCAGGGCTACTATGTGTGATCGTTGTGAGCAGCGCTGCTTGCCTAGCTGCCGTTGCGTGCGTGGTGTTGTAGATCGGGGCGTTGCAAATCGGGTGTTCTTTCTTCCACTGCAAATCGGAGATACTGCTTGTCTCCCATTTTTCTCTGGTCACTTGTGGCAGCTTTGCAAATCGGGGTCGAAGAAGAGAAAGGATTGTGGTGGTTGTGGTCCCATTTTTTCTTTAGTAATATGTGGCCGCTTTTGCTAATTGGGGTCGGAGAAGAGAAGGGTTGGTAGTGGTTGTAGTTGTGGTGGTGGTAGTGGTAGTGGTAGTGGTAGTGCGCACAGTACTCACTATCTGGCAACAATGATGGTACCGGAGTTTGATGTGTGGTGGTGTTGTGGTTGCTGTGATGGTGGTTTTGCGTTGCTTTGGTGTGTAGTGGTTGCTGTAGTAGTGGTTTTGAGCAATCTAGTGAGGTGGTAGTCATGATGGTCCGGCGGTGCTGCGCTGGTTGTGAGTGGGGATGGGATTAGATGGGATGAGAGTTTTGTTACCAATTATTTGGTTGATGGTGACCAATAAATAATGTGACGGTGACTTACAATTTATTAAGTTGTGACGGAGAAATTACTCGGACCAATTAATTTGATAATTTGTGTAACAAGTCTGCGTCCGCCCCTGGTTGTGGTGGTGGTAGTGGTAGTGCGCACAGTACTCACGATCTGGCAACAATGATGGTACCGGAGTTTGATGTGTGGTGGTGTTGTGGTTGCTGTGATGGTGGTTTTGCGTTGCTGTGGTGTGGTGTGTAGTGGTTGCTGTAGTAGTGGTTTTGAGCAATCT